TTTTACTGGGGGACCCCCTCGAAAGCAATTGGGCTATTTTCAGGCTAGTTTTGAGTAGTAATTGGGTGGGTTTTGTAGCGAAAACCTGGCAACCCTGCACCAGACAGAGCTGTCGGCGATTCTTCCTATTGTGAAGTCATGCAGTGTGTAACCTCCTGTCGTCGTTCCATCGTGCAGTGTGAACACAGCAGCAACTGAATGCTACCCCAGATAGTCGTTCAGTGTGAAACCAACTGTGATGCGACATCTTTGAAAATCGTGCAGTGTGAACTCGGCATAACTCTAACAGTGTGTTCACACCAGACGCGAATTTAATTATTTGCGCTGGTAGATTACATGCAAAGACGCAAATAGAGGCGAATTCGCGCCTGGCGACGCGAATGACGCGAAATGCGCAACGCGTTTCAGCGAAGAGCTTCTTGACACGTCCAGTTGAATCAGACAATAGAAGAGAGCATTATTGCAGCCGTCTGTTATTATATAGGTCTGGAGCATAGAAAACAATTAAAATCAGTTGTAGTGGTAGTTGTATTTTATTAGCATGGCTACAGAGATGCTGCTATCAATAATAAAAATAATAGTAATATCAGTGTATATACACAGTAGTAAAATGTAACACACACATTAATATAGGATCCTAACGTTATTCATCCTCCTCTGGATGGTGCTGTGAGCCCAGACACGTCGGCGTTTGGCTTTCCATTGTATTTGGAACTTTTTGACAACAGGTACAAAACAGCGATTGTAGTTATCTCCACCATGGTTGATCGCGCCATGTTTTTATTCGCGCAAGTGACACGAAAAACATCCCGCGAGTAATCTAGAGCGAGCGACGCGATGCGCATATTCGCTTCGCGTCTGGTGTGAACGCACCATTAGGGTTTGATAAAATCACTTTTGCCCTGCTTGACTTGTTTGTAAGAGAAAGCATCAACCCAATATTTACAATATCTGTACGTTATTCCATTTCCTCTTTGCCCAATGAATTCATGATACATTTTGTCCGAATGACCCAAACCACATCCTGTATTATGAATTTAAAACCCAGTTCTTCAGTGAACATCACCATAATGACAACAGGTACAAAACAGCGATTGTAGTTATCTCCAACATGGTTGATCGCGCTGTATTTATTTGCGTGAGTGACACGAAAAACATCCCGCGAGTAATCTAGAGCGAGTGACGCGATGCGCTTATTCGCTTCGCGTCAGGTGTGAACACCTGCTTGCACAGGGAGCGTGCAGGGGACTATTTTCAGGCGCTGCGTAATATCATTGCGCCTGCTGCACCCATGGTACGTCAGCAAAGTTCCTTGATTATTACGCCGGAATGAGAGTATAGTTCCTAGCCATATCGGCCTAGAAAATCACAACTTTTCATTTTCCGTTGGTCTTAGTACACGATGTAACTACAGAAGAGTCAAATTTTAAAAAGGAAAAATATAAAAACTCTTTGGTCATTTTTGAGCGAGATGCTAACGGTCTAATCAGATTCAATGATCTATGCTAAGCTACAGCTAAAAGTGCTACCGCCAGATCCGGAGATCGGCTGAATGGATTCGAAAACGGTAAAATTCAACTGTTTAACTCTATGGGAGTTGGAAATTGAGCCTATTTTCAAAAATAGTGGAGCGTTCCTTTAATGCTACACAATCTGACCGCCAGCTGTGGAGGCGTGGCTTCGGCGGTGGGTGTTGGAGGGAAGTTCAGTGATTGGGTTGAAATCTTACAGGCTCTAAACCAATGGGCGACTCGCACGCTCTTATTAATTATTAATTATTAACGGGATTATTAATATTTCTCGTTGTTAAAGTAATTATTATTTTATTATAACCAACCATGAGGGATAGAGGTAAAACCGGCGGTAAGGCGAGAGCGAAGGCCTAGAGTCGTTCATCCAGAGCAGGACTGCAGTTCCCCGTCGGTCGTGTTCACAGGCTTCTCCGCAAAGGTAACTACGCACAGCGCGTCGGTGCCGGAGCTCCCGTTTATCTGGCGGCTGTGCTCGAGTATCTTTTTTTTAATTGTTTAATGTACATAACAAGACAGGGAACAA